TCAAATTAATATGCAGTAATAAAGTTGAAGTTATCACTGAGAAATATACTATTTATTGCTAAGATCATACAAGATCTGGAAGATCGTACACGTTTTTTTGCATAACTATGTCATTTTAAACCCCAATTCATACCCCATACAAATTTACCAATGATCCGTAATAGAATTTTATTATGTAGAATGGATAGTGCTATAGTGGCCATTACATTTCATGGGATCAGATCTGTAAATCGCTAGCATAATTTCTATTCTCGTCCCATTCTAATATCAGAGACATCAAATTGACTTGCGTAATGCTAATTTAAAGATTCGTAATATGCGTACTATGCCAGAATGTTCCAGAAATTAGTTGGCAGATTAATTATTCATTGATCTATTCCCTATAGATTTGCAAAAATACTAGCTACATAACACAGGATGCAGTTAAATCACATAACCTTATCTGCGGGACAAGAGAAGCTAAATAACACCTTTTTCGAGCTTGCGAGAAAAAAGATACGGGTTACTGATATATCTGGATTACCGATATATCTGGCTTTGAGTGATTTAATCACGAGAAGGTCTGATTTTTATTTCACTTCAACACCGCCAATTTATAAGAAAAAAAATATTAATATAAAAATATATCTCTTAATTGTGATCCTGCCTTCTCGCAATTCTTGCTCGAAGCCAGATATAGTTAGTTAACAGATTTTTAGTTTCTGAAACAGTTAACCATATATCTTTTTTCGAGCTTGCGAGAAAAAAAGGAAATAGAATTAGGAAAACGGTAGACAATTTAAGTCTCACGTTCATGAGGGCCCAGCAAAAATTCTTTAAACAAGTGCTCACTACCCGACCCTCCTTCTGGTATTTATTTCTGAATTTCAGCTAACATTGCATCAATTTCAGCTAACATTGAATCCATTTCTATTGTTTGAGATGACGAAGAAGCCTGTATTTGAGGTTTTGAACTGTCGCTTGTCTCTGGTTCGAAGTCAGACTCTTCTGATTCTGTATCGTCTATAGCATAATTATCACCTGCATCAAGGTGGTCTGATTCTTGCCTCATTGCGATTCTTGAAAGCAGTTTAAGATGTTGGGGTGTTGGTTTCTTACCACCATAGATTCTGGAAGTGTGTTTACTTCCATAATCTCTTAATTTTTTAGATATAGTTCTATAAGGTTCTTGTTTTAAGAATTCGTTAAATGGCCAGGCATTACATATTTCATTTTCTGTAAAGACAGGATCACACAACTTTTTTGCCTTGATTGCATTTTGGATCCAGATGAGTAATTCTCTGGTGCGTTCCGGGCTCTTCTCCATAGAAAGAAATGGTCGGGGCTCAGGATTTTTTTTCTTCTCTCCTCTACTTTTTAAATAACCTGTGCAATACCAAGAATAGCCATCTTTGTACTATGCTGAAATGTTTGAAGGATCCAGTTCATAGTGATTAATTCGAAGAGACCTTATTTCTGCAGGTCTCATACTCAATATCACAATTATATCTGTGAGATCTTCTTTAGATGGAATTTTAGAAACATCTATATTCTGAATCCTTTTAAGTACTCTTGCTGACGAGAAGTGTATTGGAATTCAATCTGGATTAGCCATTCATTTTTTAGTTTGTTTTTTTTGAAATTTATTAGACTCTTGAATAAGTTTTGGATCTTTGGCATAGGTATTAATAATTTCAGGACTTACCTCGCCTTCTGCTAATTTTACACGAAATTGCAACTGGTGTGAACCACTAGCGACTATTTCATTTTCATAATCATTTTTTGGGTCTAAATCTAAATAATAGACAAAAATGTCCATAGCATCGCTGATTTTAGCGCAATATTTTGCCCTTTCCTCTATGGTGAGTTTTCTTTTTCTCTTATCTGGTAAGAGAGCCTCTATTCGCTCTTCACTAAATGAGCGTCTGTTATCAGTACCTCTGGCAAGAGCAACTTTAACACACACTTGCGAGCCATCCAATCAGGAAGTAATATATCGAGTTTGGGAGCATGTTCGTTTAATTGTTCTGGGGTAGAGTCGGCTATCAGATTATGCTTTTCTAGAAACTGCTCTAAGACCAATACAAAGTTATTAACTTTAGGTTTTCAGGTCTTTGGGGAAGCTGTTTTAGTAGCCATGTCAATAGTAAGTGTTATCTAGTTGTATTAATCTAGTTATTTTTTAATTCGAAAAAAAAAATAATAATTCACTCTTTACCAAAGCATACCGTTTTCCTGGAGTATGCTTATTTTTTTTTGCCACTCCTCATTGGTATCGAGCTAGAAGGATGTGGTCCTCTTATCTTCAAGGTCATAACAGATTATTTCTTCTCCTATCAATCTTTCCCACACTGACATGTCCATATATTTTTTAGGGTCTTTTTTCCCCTCTTTTGCATAACCACACATCCGAGCATCAGTTTCTATTCTATCCCGGAATGCAATGGAGTCGAGCCTGTCCTTTTCTGTAATAGTTACAAATATATCAGGATCCTCACCAAGTTCGATTGCCCTTTTTCTGAGGCGCTCTTCGTGCTAGGCCCTGCTCAGAAGTATGGCAGATAGTACTTCATTGATAGGCTTGGAAGAATCAGTTTCTTTAGAAGACGTATTAGGTGCTACTCTACTTATAAGCTCAATAGGTTTGGAAAGCTTGCTAGTTTTGAGCTGGTCTTTTTGAGACCGCTCAACAATTTTTGGCTCAGGTAGGTTAGACGTCTTAGAAGTTTCAGAAATCCCAGATGTTGAAGCAACTAGTGCTTCAGCTTCTTCTACCACATAGTCGAATAGAGCTTGGGTTAGATTTTTCTGTTTATCTGCTTTCTTATCACTAGAAAAGATATTCTTTTCTGCCTAAGACGGGATTATTTTTGGAGGAATAAATTCTGGCACATTGAATATGAGTATGTCTGTTGTCCCATTTTCAGGTAAGTCAGGTTGAGGTGTATCAGAAAATTCTTCGATATCATCTAGGTCAGATTCACAGAGCTTAGTTATGATTTTGGAGTGATTGAGAATGTATTGCCATTCCCTTTTCCTACCACTTGCTCTCTTGCGTTCGATATTAATCTTTGAGAATTTCTTACCAAGAATGTTGTTAAAAAATAGTTTTTCTCCATTGCCTCCACACCAATCAAAATATTCCTGATATAATATATTGCTACTTAGCTTAGCTACTTTATCTTCAGGTCATGGTGCAATATAATCAATTATGAATCGAATAGGATTAGGTAGTTGGTCTCGTATGGTTTCTATTTTCATTTTGGTTGAAGGAATCTTATGTGGCTTCTATCCAGAAAGATTAAGACTAAGCAGATATGATATAAAAGATCCAGGTGTATCAGGATGCTTAAGAATCTCCCCCAATTGGTCAAAATATGCAAAATTATTTTTATAGCAGAGAGAAACATCTAAATATACGATACACCCATCTCCCATTTCTACTCGAATTGGGGCATCATGATTACTTAAAATTATAAATCTAGCAAAATGATTACAATCTTGGGATTCAAGGCCTTTGTGCTCAATTGAGACATAGTTTTCTGTAATAAGGGCTTTTAAATGATCATTTGCCTTATGCTATTTACCACTAGCTATTCCTGTTTGTTCATAATAATAAGTTTCTGCGCTTGGATGGAGCTATTAAACCGTCCAAGAATCTTCCCTAAATCAGAAGTCGAGAATACAAGGTCTGGTCTGAATAAACTTTTTCGAATAAAATCGGTGATAATATTCTTCCCACATCGTGGTGGGGAGCGTAAAACAAGAATCGTCTCAGGAATTATACTTGGATACTGAACTAGGAATGCAAGCTATTTTAGAATATATTCAGAAAGATTTTTATCTCCATTACACCAGATATTTTCTATATACCAGATGATGGGTTTTACGAGATCATAATTAATTTGAGATGCCAGTTTGGCCTTGAATTCTAAGAAAAGATTAAAGAATTCGGTTTTTGGTAAATTAATGTTTGGAGAGTATGGGAGAAAATTGATATTATCATAATGTATTACGCCACTTATGAAGGCATAATTGATCAAAGATGTTAATTTTACCACCTCACCCCTAGTTCTATTATATTAATTGTAAAATTTGCAATATCTAGTTTAGGCCCCATGTCAAATATAAGTCTACCATTCGGATTCCTATATTTAAAAATCTATATTTTCATTTTCTTCTGAACGCAGGCGATCATTGCTTGAATTGCCTTATAGATAACCATACGAGAGAATTTTTTACTTGAGGTACATATATGCAGTAAGTCACCCCATACAAAGTGATCACTAGGATCTGAAATTCTGGATCAGCTTAGTTTTGCAGGACTTGGAAGCTTTTTTTCTCTATCTAAAGCTATTTCGCTAATGGTAAGCTTTAACGAAGGGTTTTTCACGCCAGGCTGTTTTTCTTGGTTTGCATGATAACAGAAAAAGCTATAAGATTTTTATTTCGTATAATATATATATTATCACTTGTGTGTTCCTGATCACATAATGGGCAATATGATGGAGAAATATGTGATAATGGAAATTTATCAGGGAAATTTTCTGACGGAAATGAGAAATTATAGCCTTCAATATTGGCCTCTTTAAGCAATATCACTGCCAACTCGAATTCAGCTTCAGTAGTAATATTACTCGTGGTAAAGCATTTTCTTCTGCTTATATTTTCTGAAACATCTAAGAGAGGGCTTTCTATGACTTCTGATTCATTATTTGGCAGGTGAATCATGAAGTCAAAGATCGTTTCATCTTTGGGATAGATAGCTTTTTTTACACGAACATGTTCTTTTGTTTCTTCCTTATACTTGGGTGATCCAAGCATCTGCAAGAAGAAAGACCTTTTATTTGCAATGTTATCAATAATACATTTCTCCTGTAATCCTACTTGGAGTTTTTTGCGAACAAGTTCAGTGAATACTGCAACCTGAGCAATGTTCTTAAGTCTCATACCAGTAGTAGAGATGTGAAGAGATATTTTTTTTGCATTACTACTAGTAGCGATAGTTATACTTTTTTTATCCCACTCTGGATATATTTCTGGACAAACATCTCTAAAGGCTATTTGAATAGCTTTACAGGCTTCTTTACGCGAAACTTTAGAAGTGATAGCATTTAGTATTTCTATTGGCAAATCAAAATCTATGATAAGACAAAGTGGCTCATCACCATCAATAAATTTGTGCAATGAATGGCTTTCACGGTCTGAGAGTATGGCTTCGATACCATCCTCATTGTCTGTGTCTAGAAAATTCTTTGATCTAACACTATCATCACGAATTTTATATAAGCATGCACCTATATCAGAAGCTCTTAACCCACAATAGTACAGGGTGGGCTGTCCAAATTCTCTGAAAGCTCAGATTGGGTCATGGTAGTATTGAACATTTTTTTGAAGAAATACTAAATCTGTATAGAAAAAGTTTAAAATAAAAATTAATTTCTGACTAAAAAGTAACTGACATCAATTTATAGCATAAAAAGAAACTATCTTAAAAGATAGCATTTTATCATTGTGAATATATTCTTAGAAGCAGAGAAGTCTGTAGACGGGGTAGTTATAGGCCTGAAGGATGCGGTTATTACTGGAAATCCCCCAACGTGTACCATGTAAGGAGTGCGGTGAAATTACATTCTCCATATATGGTATGTGCAAAAAACATGCAGAGAAGTACCGAAATATGAAATACTATTATCAGAAAAAGCTTGCAAAAATCCAGAATAAATTCTACCAGAAAACTATCCCAGAAAACCCGTCCTAGTTTGCTAGAACGAGCTGGAATGAAAACCTGGACAGAAAAATATAGCTAAATGGTGATATTAAGCTGAATTAAAGGGGATTTGAATAGCTGTCCCAGTTGTCCAAGTAAAATGCGAGATTTATTATTATTTTTTTTTTCCTATAAGCATACTAATATATATTATACACATAGTAGTATATACCATAAATATATAGCATAGGATGAATTACGAATTTTTTTCTAGAATTCTTATTTTTACTAGAACAACTAGAACAACTAGGACATAGTATAAAAGAACAAGTTAAATCAAAGAAAGAAGCTTTTCTTCTATATCAAATTCTGTCCCAGTTCTGTCCCAGTTGTCCTAATAACTAGGATGGAATTTACTACTATACATCGATCATATCCAACATGCATATCCTTGGATCAAAAATGCCCGATCTAGCCCTAGAAACTGGAGAGTTCATGCTTTAGCTAGAGTAAGCGCACCAACTTATTAAAAAAATTTGTCTCTATAAAAACTATCCCCTGTACCCCATGAAAAATTTATAAAAGTGGCAAAAAAACTTAACAAGAACGCCTCAAGATAGCAAACTGGTATTTTTAAAACTCTGAAAAGCCACCTTTATTACTGTCCCTATGACCCTATGAGTTTTTGTAAAAATTCGAACTTCTTTACTTTTTTTTTTATTTTTTTTATAGCATACATCAACTATATAACAAACATATCTATAAGCATATACAGTTATCAAAGGTAACATACTATAAAAATCATTTTTTTTTTCTAGAACTTTTTCATTTCATAGAGACTCATAGAGACATAGGGACAAGTAATAAAGAATAGATTAAATCAAACTAGAAATCCCAAAATCAATATTGAGATTGTCCCTAAGGATGTCCTTATGAATTTTTTCTTATAGAAACACATAGAGACAGCTAGTATTGTCACATTATACCTCTAATTGACTAACCAAAAAAAGGTGCCAGGAACTGAAGGTGCAGTAAATTAACAATAATATCAGCCCATAATTTCAGCCTGATCTTTGGGTACAATAACTTGGCAACCAAGAAGTGATCTAAAACGGGCGAACTAATAGAGCCTTTCTGGTTCTCTACTAGTCCACTGCTAGTATCACGATAGTTCTACACTGGTCGAAATCAAAAATATAAACCAAATATCATCAAGCAATCATCTAATCGATAGCTGGCCGATAGTTTGGT